AGGCGTCGCTCGAGAGTAGGTGTGGCCCGGGCGAGCATGAAAAGCACACGCGAGTGATCCGCCGCGAAACGCTGCGCCAACGCTGGGAGAGAGGTGATGCTCGATAGATCCAAGAAGCGAAGCAAAACCCCAATGATGCCGGGGCTGCCCCAGAGCACCTGGAGGTCGCAGAGGGTCGTACGAATAGGGGTTCTATTAGCTATCATCATTTGATCGATAGTATCACTATTTATATTATCCGGAATGGCATGCTGGAACCAATACCCGCGGATATGCATGATGGAATCAATATCTCCATACGCATGCTGGAACCAATATGCCTATAAGCAAGATGGAACCAATACCTAATATATTATTATCCGGAATGGCATGCTGGAACCAATACCCGCGGATATGCATGATGGAATCAAGATCTCCATACGCATGCTGGAACCAATATGCCTATAAGCAAGATGGAACCAATACCTAATATATTATTATCCGGAATGGCATGCTGGAACCAATACCCGCGGATATGCATGATGGAATCAAGATCTCCATACGCATGCTGGAACCAATATGCCTATAAGCAAGATGGAACCAATACCTAATATATATTATCCGGAATGGCATGCTGGAACCAATACCTGCGGATATGCATGATGGAATCAATATCTCCATACGCATGCTGGAACCAATATCTCTATAAGCAAGATGGAACCAGTGTCCAGAAAGCAAGATGGAACCAATACCAGCGGATATGCATGATGGAACCAATACATTTATGGAAACAACATTGTCGAATATGTATGATGGAACCAATACTTAATATTGCATAAAGCGAGATGGAACCAACACGCTCGGATATGCATGATGGAATCAATATCCTCATATGTATGATGGAAACAATATGAGTTAATATGTATGATGGAACCAATATCGAGAGAGCGATGGAACCGTACCATGTCATGAACTTAGACTTCATGCATATTCATGAATAACGATTGGTTCCATCATAGCATTTCATACCCTACTTGTTTCCATCATAGTATATATACACCCTTATTGGTTCCAACATAGCAATTTCCCTTTTAAAGATAAGTTTTTAAAGATATCAACACCATCATGATGCGATAAACTTAAAGTCATCTCTATCTTTCTTATTGTAAACCACGTAGATGAAACCGTTTCTCATTCTCATACTATATTACTATACCTTCATTCTTTTTTCATCAACCATGCACCCAAACCCCGCGACAAAAAAAACGTGCCCGTCGCGCAGTTCTTCCAGAAAACAACCCCAATATTCACACTATATTCACACAATCGCAGACCGCTCAGTGTCCGGGTTCTTACCCACTGGACCCGGGTGATGCGCCATGACCTGACCGAGTTCTCACAGGAGGACGAGGTCTGAGGTACGTCGATTGATCCTTTCGGGGACTTCGTGTGGGTGGGCCTTGAGGCTCACTCAACTTACCCTTTATGCCAAATTATTATCTTGATTGACTAGAAGGCTACTTTGTACAGGTAATCTTCGAGTAGCCAAGAAAGTAGCGCCCAAAGGAGAGAGAGAGAATGAGCTGTTATTTATTATTGCAGCTCAGTCGATACTCGCTCCTTATGCTCTTATCCGGCGCTGCTGAAGCAGCCCGCCGGCGAAATTCTTTCTCCCCGTGGCCAGCCGAACCTATTTTAGAGAGAGGGAGTTTAGCTAGTAAACTAGGGGAGTGGGGTGGGCCTTGAGGCTCACTCAACTTACCCTTTATGCCAAATTATTATCTTGATTGACTAGAAAGCTACTTTCGGACAAAAGCACCGTGAAAAATAGTATAATAATATCATTGGTCGCTATCCGTCACGCTGATTCTCCAACGCATGCTCCTTCAACCGATATTCATAACTGCATGTCGTCATCGGAACTCTACGGAACACCTGGCCCCAAACATGGGTCTCTTCCAAACAACGAACCTAGGCGCGCGCAGGCAAGCTTGTTGTAATTGGATGAATTAGTCCGTCAACTCAGGCGCGCGCAGGCAAGCTTGTTGTAATTAGATGAATTAGTCCGTCCGTAAACGAAAGGAGGACGGGCTCGAATGAGGATTAATGATGCGATGTGATCCTACTGCAATTGCCCGACCAGAAAATATAGACTCATCCAAAAATTCGTGTACAGTGCCAACGCTAGCTTCAGGGGACGTCCACGTGACTATAGATGTGATCGACATCAATAGCGCAAATTGCCATGCTACGAGTGTAGACCTCAAATCAAGTTTTCGAGACCTGCGCAGAGATCTTCAGACAGGCGTTGCTCCCCTCCACTTCAAGGACCTGACCTGTTTTTTATCAAGGTTACGCAAATGTATTCTAAAGTCCTGTAGCGCCCAGTTCGATTGCGGAACAGTGACTGCAATCATGGGCCCAAGCGGAGCTGGGAAATCCACCCTCCTGGACTATCTTGGCCAAAGGATTCATATATTACGTTCGCATTCAATAAAGCTATCCGGCAGCATCTACTTGGGCTGCACTCCAATGACCCCTAGCTTGTTCCGCGCGCGATGCGCATATGTTCCCCAACATGATGCGCTTTGGAGTACCTTGACAGTCCGAGAACATTTTCTATTTTGCATTGCATTTCTTGATGGATGCTACAAGCAGGAACGTCCTGTGGTTTCCAAAGTTATTCAAGTACTGGGCCTAGCTAGCTGTGCGGACACCATGGTCGGGGGGCCATTGGTAAAGGGGTGCAGTGGAGGGCAGCAGCGGCGTACAAGCATCGGGATCGAAATCTTGTCGAGACCAGAGGTCCTGTTGCTGGATGAACCTACGACAGGCTTGGACGCGGTTGCAGCTCTAAATATTGTTAGACTGTTGCGATACTTGGCCAATTCAGAACGAATAACTGTTGTGAACACGATTCACCAGCCAAGTTCGTATATCTGGGAGGAGTTTGACAATGTCCTGCTTTTGTCGACTGGTCAAGTTGCATATGCCGGTAGTCCGCACGATGCCCTAGCACACATGCTCAAGCTGGGTCATGC